ATTGGTGCCTTCAAGCTATCTTCACAAGCCTACAGACTGACTAATATGAACATTAGGAATTCTATGTTGCTTGCGCGTGGGTTATTGGAGGTTTCATTTGCTTGAAGTTCTAGCTGCCACAAGTTCCACTTTGTTCATTGATATTCATTTGAATGGTCCAAACTGTCATCCGGCATTTGTATTTTAGTTATTATTGTGCATTTTAAAGTTTAGGGTCTAGTTCCCTATTGTACATTTTGCTAATTATGTTGAAATCAGGTCCCCTATTAGTCAGAATTTTGGCAGCATCCTGACGTCTCCCCCATTTAGGAAAAATTCGGGGAATCTTAGCCTTCCCACCATATCAAGAAAGATGTGCATGATCAATATCGGATGACACCATGGCCATAGTCTTTAATCCCACTATGTCAAGAAAGGTGTGCATGGCATGTTTAAAAATGCACAATTCTTTCCTTGCGGGCACTGAGGCACGTACAATGGTACTTAAGTGTTGCCCCGCCATACTAGGAAAAGCATGCACAAGGCTTACCTGCCTCGTCTTAAGCACCACAATGAGTTTCCTCCCACCGCGCTAAGAAAAGCGTGCATAGGTGGTTGCTCGTCGCACTGCAAGTGCCGAGGATAGGATTCGCGGGTTTAGTGACATTTATACCTTTGTAAGGAGGCAACGATGACGGCGATGTCGGCCGAGGGCGGCGACGAAGAAAAAATGAACATATATATATATATATATATATTCTTTTTCCTTATCTTTTTTTTTATCTTTTTTCTTCTTTTTTTCTTTTCCTCACTTTTTTTATTTTTATAATAATAAAAGTAATAATAATGATAAAGTATCATTACCATTATTATTATTATTATTATTATTATTATTAGTAATAATAATAATTAAACAACAATAACAACAACCACAAGCCTTTGTCTCACTAGGTGGGGTCGGCTACATGAATCCTTTTTTGCCATTGTGTTCAATTAAAAGTCAAATTTTCATTTAAATCTAATAAGAAATATTATTTCTAATATTTTCTAACCAAGTCTTTTTAGGTCTACCTCTAATCTTTCTTAACATAGTCAAATATAATACCTCAACTTTCCTAACCGGGTCATCGGAAGGCCTCCGTTTAATGTGAGCAAACCATCTAAGGCGACTCTCTCTAATCTTATCTTCCACTGGAGCTACTCCAACTTTTCCTGTATATGCTCATTTCGTATCCTATCTCTAAGGGTCAAGCCACTCATCCACCTAAGCATCCTCATCTCTGCAACACTTAACTTAGTATTATGCTTCTCTTTTAATGGCCAACATTCGGCACCAATAAAGCATTGCAGGTCCTCACCAACATCTTATAGAATTTTCCATTGAGATTGAGGGGGACTTTTCTATCACACAATAAACCCGAAGCATTCCTCCACTCAACCATCCAACTTGAATTCTGTTGATAATATCCCCATCAATTTCACCATCATTCTGAACAATAAACACAAGATATCTAAAACGTGTACTCTTATTAATTACTTGATCGCCCAAAGTCACAATCCCCTCACTAGGTCTATTGCTACTAAAATTACACTCCATATATTCAGTTTTAGATCTACTCAAGCGAAAACCTTTAGACTCTAAAGTTGACCTCCATAATTCAAGTTTACCTTCAACTCCCTCTCTAGTCTTGTCAACAAGAATAATATCTTCAGCAAAAAGCATACACCAAGGTACATCCTCTTGCAAATGTCTAGTGAGAACATCCATGACTACAACAAAAAGATATGGACTTAAGGCTGATCCTTGATTTAACCCAACCGAAATAGGAAAATACTTGGTCAAACCACCTTGTGTTTGAACACAAGTAATAGCTCCAACATACATATCTTTAATGATTTGAATATAAGCATTATTAACTCCTTTCTTTTGAAGAACTCTCCATAGCACTTCTCTTGGAACTTTATCATATGCTTTCTCTAAATCAATAAATATCATATGTAGATCCTCCTTATTCTCTCTATATTTCTCCATTAAATCTCTCAATAAATGTATGGCTTCCATAGTAGACCTACCCGGCATGAATCCAAATTGATTTTGAGAAGCATTAGTATCACGCCGCAACCTATGCTCCATAACTCGCTCCCATAATTTTAAAGGGAAGAGTATAATAATAATTAAACTAAATTAATAATAATAATAAAATTAAAAATAAGAGTATATAAATAAACCTTTTATTGTAGCGACTGGATCGAATGCTTGAGGAGATCAGGTAGCTGTGTGATTGAGCGAGGGAGTTCGAGGATAACATGAAGGGAAGATCTGCGAGCTGTAGGGCTTGGATCGGCAAAGTGATTCAATTAGTGGCTTCTGCATGTGATGAGGGGGTTGAGCTAAGATGCAGAGAATGAGAACGGGAGAGTGAGAAGGATCAGTTGTTGCATGTGTGAGGCTCAGCGGGTGCGCTCGACGAGTTCAAGCATTGAGTGAGAAGGATCGAACGACCGACGAGTTAGAAAGGGCTCTGCAATTGGATCAAATAGGGAAATTGACAAGATCGGGCCTCACGTGCGGCGTCGGGTGTTCAGTCCTAAGGTTCGAATTCGATTGGAAATTGTAGCTGTGGAAGATTTGAACTGCGTCTTGAGGAAGGGTTGGAGGAATCTCAGTCAGAGTGGCATTGACGTGTGACCTGAAGTAGGGATCAAGTCGGACGTCTGATTCAATGGGAGTTCACAGACAACGGTTGAGGTCGGCGTCAGCACAGTGAAGGAATAGGGCATGGTTGAGGGATTGGCACAGTGGTTTGTGGGCATCAGTGTGTTGGGCTTGAGGATTGGCATAGTGAAGGGTTGCAATTTCTAGAGTGCGGGTCGATCGAGGGAGAAAGAAGCGTCAGTTTGGAGTGGAGAAAACGGAGAAGGGTGCAGATGAGGAAGAAACGAAGGAGCTATGGAGTCATGAAGTTGAAAGAAATATGTGAAGGCTTCATTCGATTGGATATTAACGACGAGCACAGAAAGGCATCAAGGAGTGAATTGCGGGAAGCAGGACAAGCGACGTGGGCATCGGATCGTGCGTAGAGGGATACGTGGGATTTGAGCACGACTCTTGTGTGGAGAACAGTGTTGGCACCAATGCCAAACAAATTCGAACAAGTATGCGACGTGCAAAATTTGAGCAGGATTTCTAGGATTTTTCCGTGGAGGTCAACACTTATATCTCAAACTTAGAGATTTGGCCGATGGGAAAATACAATCTTAAGCCATAATCATAATATAATGGTGCCATCATTTACGCTAACCATCCAGTCAAAGAGAACATGCTACATCCTTACTTGTGTGAGATATTTGTGTTGTCATATGGATACACTTATATGGCACTAGCTCTTAGTGAGCTATGGTTGGAATTAAATTTATCATCCTTAACAACTTGGTGCGAAACATGGGAGGTAGCTGCTCAGAATAAAAACCAATTAATTATTGCTTTAAGTATTTTTCTTTTTTAATTTTTTAATTATTTTTGTAATCCTAAAGTGGTTGATCTTGGAGTTTGAGTGCATTTTTATTGTAATAAAATTTCCTTCTTTCGAGATTTATTTTCAACACGGACATCATCAGGAACGGACATATGCACATTAAGGCTAGATCATTATTTCATAAGTTATATCAAACTTTTTATCCATTCAAAGAGAATTGGGCTCAAGAAATTGTCGGCTTACAAACCTTATCCACTTTATTTGTTCACTTGTCAATGAGAAGTCTAGGAAAAACTATATATGCATTTGACATCTAAATTTAATTTCTTCAATATTATTGTGTATCATGCCTTAAATTTGAGGTTGAGCACACATACTAAATATTTGAGAAAGGCCCAAAAAATTGGGACTTATGAGGATGCCTACAGGTAGGGTGCCACATACTTTCTCTATAAATTAAGCTTTCATTATATAGGGTTTTCAAGGCCTTATGCAAATGTATAACAAAATTTACTAAAATAACAAAATAGATAAGACTCAGACCAACACAAAGTACTTACAAAGTTTGGACAAAGTGAATGTATTATCAATTATACTTGCTAACATGAATATCAATCTGACTTTCCATATTCAGGATTTAATATCATATAGACTATAGAGGTACTTTTGAGCCTCTAAAGTTTCTAGCAGGTATCTCTTAAAGTAGAGTTTCAGTAACCACAACACCAGTACAAGTTCCAATTAGAAAGCCAACTTTTAGCCTCAATATAAGATGTTGATCTAATTTTATCAGATGAGATTATATAAGGTTCTTCGAACGGGAATATTACTTTGTTCAATAGAGAGGTCATCCAACATCAGATGACTCATGGATGACTCTTGACAAGCTATAGAGCTTCTCCTGGCCTTCCGGATAAGTATTTTTAACATAACTCACTAGAGGAGAGTTCTTCATATCCCAAGGGAGTTAGCATTGATGGTGTGATTACAACAACAATATCAAGCTTTTCTCCATTTTGTTTTGTTAAGAGTCAAATTATATATAATAAACAAAGGTCATTGAAGGTGTGATTGATCAAATATTTTTATGCTTTATTTAGATATTTGCATTTAAGGGTTATTTGGATTGGCTTTATTAGGTTTTAATCCATGTCTTATTACTTTTATTTCAGTAGGTTTTATAATGGATTGAGGGGATCATAATGCTCGCTCTCTAAACAGAATTAAGAAAGCTGATGTGATAACACAGTACATTGGCTGAAGAAGCAAACAAACTGCAGAAATTTCTTGGCTTTTTGACTCGGATAATAATGTTTAATTTTTGTGTCACTCTTACCTCATAACTGAAGCTAACATGCCGATAGAAGAACCAAGCATTTATATGCCGGCACAATCAGAACCTCTCCTCATAACTTGCTTAAAGGGAGTATGACGTGGATATGTTGATAAAACAAAATGATAAAAGGATGGTGAAAAACTAAGGAGCATAAACTAGAATATCAAAGCAGAGAATTATATGAATGGAAAAAAAAAACTAGTACCAACCTATAAATGAAACTCATAAGTGAGATGAACCCACTCAGGGATCTCAGTATTAGTAGATTTCTTGCATGTTTTGGCGGAAATAATGGATGTCCAACCTTTCTTAGCCACAGAAATGACAAGATCAAGATAACGGTACATCTTGTAAATACAGATTCAAACAGTGGAACCGTCTGAACTGCCCATTAGAAAAAGAGAAGCAAAAAAAAAAAAAACATAAAGATTAGTAAGCATAAAAAATATGCACAACAAATTTTATTCTAATATTTACAACCATAACAAAAAACAATCAAATTTCATAAGATGATACAAAGCAATATCTGACCAAAACAAGCTAGCCTTAAAGAACATTTTGTTTGCAAGTGTGCAAAATGAAGGAATTGATTCCATATGATCAAATTAAAGATATAGATGACACAAAGGAAGAACTCCCCTCCCAAAATTGTAGATAAACAAAAAATAGAAACTAGGAAAGAAATTAACCATGAATTAGTCCAAAAAGTAAAATAAACATTTATATGTCTCTACTGAAGGGTATGCAATATGGTATGCTTTCCGATATGAATAACAGATTAGGATATCAAACCAAGCCAAGTAAAATCACGAAAATACCAAGTAAAATCACGAAATAAATAAATTCACAAAATGTTGTGGTAAGGTGATAGAAGATGGACTCAAAGTTCCAAAGGCGAAACTACCGAGTTTGCACCATAAACTACTATTTTAGTTGAAACAAAAAAACGATGAACATCAAGGACATACAACTCTGATGATCAAGCTTCTAGAATATTATTTACTATGCATTTGTAACGTCTCTTAGTTTGAAACATTTTAATGTAGCCAAGAAATGAAGTAGAATTTCAAGTAGATGGGAAGAGGAATGCCATTATTATGAAAAAAACAAAAAAAAATGGAGGTAAGTGAGGATTCACTCCCCCAAAAATTATGGGGAATCAATCACCTTGACAATCGGCTTAGCATTCAACCAAAGGAAATGCACTTATTCATTACATGGGAGAATCATTCAACTAAATAAAAAGAATCTCTTACTCTCCCTCATCCTTAAGCTCTCCCCAAACCCCTTCCACATTGATATTTATTACAGCCTCAAATATGATTTGTTGACCAATTAAATGAGGTTATTGGTGGTGTGTGGTGGTTGGGAACTACAATAAAATGAGCTCCAAGGTCACTGATAAGTGGTGATTGAAAGTATATTTGCAATCTAATGGGTACTTATTCAAGAATCCAAAAACATAGCATTACTAGAACACGGCATAAATTCTAGAACTACAATGCACCAAAGTGGCGCAGCACATGCCAGTGAAGTATTGGTACAAACATAAACAGCTATGGTTGTTACAGGCATTAACAGCTATCCTTGCATCATCTAACCACTCTTTTCCTTGATAAACTGCTTGCATCACTAGTACATGACACAAATTCTAATACCACAATGAAACAAACTGACAGTGCATGCCAGTGAAGTGTTGGCACAGGCCTTAACACCAATCTTCATAGCTTGGCTTGAATAGAATGCAAACAAATACAACTCATTCTTTACATGGAATACTCATTTATACCAGAAAACAAAAAATTGAAAACATGATGAGACCAAACACAAACAAGACCAAAAAATTCATGTGGTCTTGACTTCAAGGACTTACTATGCATTTGTATAAGTTTCGTTGAAGTTTAGTAATTAAAGCAGTTCAATTAGCATTTGTGATGGAACAGACATAGTAAATTCAGGCTAACCTAGATTATGGAAGAAACCTACAATCACTACACGCCCTCACATCCTTCCTCCTCAACGGAGGTAATAATAATAATATGATATGGGAGAGGGCAACTCGGCCCCCCTTGTGGGGCCTATTAAACATATCATTACATATGAGAGAAGAGGAATTAAGAAATGGATTAATTATGAGATATTTCCTAGTTAACAAGGGAAGATTTGAGGGCTGATTTGAAGGAAGTTAATTAAAACATATTTCCTAATTAAATAGGGATGATTTGGGGGCTGAATTGGAGGAGATTAATTAGGAGATATTTCATAATTGGAGAGTGCTGATTTGGGGGCTGATTTGAGAGGAATTGGGGGAGGGCTGTTTTGAAATTTGTTGTTTTATTGTTTGCTATAAGTAAAAGGATTTATGTTATGTTTGAAGGGAGAATTTGATTTAAGAGTACTGTAGTTTTTCTTTTTTTAAGGGATCCTAGCGGCGTCTAGGATTTGAGAGTGACGGTCCTCCTCTCGAAAGATTACCATTGTATCTTCTTTTGTTCGTATTTGACTTCATATTTGACACTGTTGTTTTTGATACCGAGGCGCATCATAACGCTATCCCAAGGAAGGATGAAGAAAATGGCAATGTAAAAGAGATAACAGTCCAGTAATCTTGTTGCCAAATACATATATTAATACTAAAAAATTTCTAGGATGATTAAACAAGTTAGATGCACGAATTGCATTTAGTGCCCTCAAACAGTCAGACCTATATCATCAAGACTTAGACACCCCTTGTGAGATCAACAGGAGAAATGCAGACTAAGAAAGACTTCAGGTGAGTAAGATGGGAAAGTTTTCAGGGATATCATCAAAGTTAGTTTAGGAACGTATCATATTTAAATCCCAGAACGAAAGAGGTTGTTTAAAATAAGATCCAATCCTATCCAAACTCATTAGAGTAAAGCTATTTTTAGTTTGTGCTCCTGCCCTTTTGACTTGATCTTGCAGAAATTTTAATGTTGCACTTCTCATGGAATAATTATGGAGAAAATATTTATTGTCAGGGCATTTTAAATTCCAGAAAACAGTGCGTGACAACTAAAGTCATCATAGAATATAGGTAATTTCGAGACATTCCAAAGCAATGCGTCTTCAAAGTTGAGTTCATAATGCCTTAAAGAAAAAACTGACCTGGAAATATATCTAACAAAACTTCCATGATGTAGTAAATGGTCGAGGAGGAAGCCATGCATAACAAACCAGAATATTTAGACCCACCCCACGTCCACATGCAAATCTGACTTAGGAAGTTCACCTCTGCCTCAACCAGGGCAAGATTTGTTTCCTGCAGATATTAAGCATGCAATAATAAAGAAATTTACGAAGTGGTCATTATTATTAACTCACAGGAATAAAGGGCAATCCCCATAACCTTTTTGTTATGATTGCAAGCTTTCAAACCAACAAATTCACCACAGTTTTCATAATTAAATGATAAAAACAGTTTTTGAACTTAAGATCTGCTATTATAAATGCAACTACTAAAAAAAAGGGGTCGGTTGGCTATGTGTATGCCATGCTCACCTTTTAATTAATGGGTGTTGTATAGTTATCAAGACATATGGTTGACATAATTTATGGAGTTAATAGGGTTGGCTTACTCGGCTAATGAATTAAAAAAAAAACTAACTACTACATTATCAGATTTGATATGTGGACATATGAGCTTATACTGTTGGGCTTGCTACGTGCAAACAAATCAATTACCAATTTTATCTTTCCTCCTGAAGATTTGGATGTATACCAATATCCTTCAAAGAAATCAATCCAATGTACTTCAATCACACTGAAAACATCAACAATAATCTAGGAAAGCCTATTTGATGATAGATGAGTTCCTTCAGCAACAATTTGTATTCCAAATGCTTAGTATAGTATCATTTGTACCAAGCTACCAAAACATAGGGACTTTATAACATCATGTTCTACATGAATTGGATAATGTGCAGATGTAACATGTTGGAAAATCTGTACATCCAAAAGCCGATTTCTTCAACAGTAGTTAGTGATGCAGCTCTCTAGAGGGTGTGGCGAACAAAAAAAAGTGTTAAGAAGCAAAATTTCAACATGACATTACTTCTACTTTCAAAAAGAAGTCAAATTAAGTTGCTAGCAATAAGTGACATATTACAAGACCCCGTTGAGAATTGAAACCACCAATAAACTTCAGATATCCCTAAAACTAGATGACAAACCTATTGGACCAATGACGATACCAAAAGGGGAGAATATTTAGTGGTCAAAAAATAATTAGAACACGGGAAAAAGGCACACCCAGCTTCACCAGACTAGGAGAGTGAGAGTTAATTAAAAAATGTTAGTGCAGGAAATACTAGAGAAGGTCCATGATATAGATACACAATAGAAATTAGCCAAGCAGAGGGAGGTAGAAACATTAAACTAGGGAGCCCACAACTTTGTGGCGGTCTGGTGCTTCCACTAGCATGCATTAATTCTCAAAGCTCCTGCTTGGCACATCCAACACTATCTATGCTTCTTAAAGCTGGTTAAGCACGTAAGCCTCATAATCCCCATTTATAAGGCTTAAGAGAGAGAGAGAGAGAGAGAGAGGGGGGGGGGGGGGGGGGGGGGGAGGGAACTTAGGTGGAAGGAAGAATAAAATTTGATGTCAAAAGGGTGACGGACCCTTGGTGAGGAATTTCTTGTTGGTCTTCATCTTCCTTAATATTTTGAATGTGTTTGATTTGGTTAATTTCTTCTTAGATACAAAGGAATTGAAGAAAGTAGGACCTTGAGAGAAAAAAGAAATTATTATGGAACAAGAACAATAGCAAGTGTTTGGTATTGTAGCGCTTAGGCACTGCAATAAGAGAGAGAGAGATAAAATAAAAGGAGAGGAAGAAGAGAGAATAAAGAAGAGGGAATCTTTCCAATTCATTTCATTATTTAGTAATTGTAACGCTTAATTTTTTGCACAAAATTTGAGGACGTCTACAAGTCAATTTTCGACCAACACCCCCCAAATCATTGACTAACACCTCATATTCTTGCCATCGTTTCCAACAAATGCTCACCGCCAACATCCCAACAACCGACCCTTGTACAATTGACTCTCATTTGATTCACAACAACTAGTGTTGCCCCACAAATTTTTTTGACTTCTCCAACAACAATTCACACAATGATTTAATGACTAATTAAGTATTTTTTAATAATGTTGATTTAGCTTGATTAGCGACGTTGGGGAGATCGTTAATAGATTTCTAGGATTCTTGGAGTGGTGTTGAAAGGTCCAGGATCGGTGAAAAACTAAGATGGCAACTAGTTGAGAGTTTTGGTACAAGTTTCTAGATGAAACTTGGTGAATGTGGATGGCTAGACTTTTTTTGGTAGAAAATTATGGATAACTCCATCAAACTAATGGCAGTGATTTTAGGTTATTTAAGCGCATCGTTAAGAAGCAATAAATTTTCTTCGTGGACTGATAGGGCTATAAATGAACCGAATTGAGTCAAGCAAGAGCTTGCTCGAGCTCAAGGTCAAGCTCCTTTGCAAATACATTGTTCAAGCTTTGCGGGTATATGTGATAGTGTACAAGGTTTGTTTGATTAAAATCTTGGCCGTTGAGCTTAGTTGGAACATAGATCAAGTTTGATTCAAATTGTATTACTATTATCAAGCAGCTTGCTTGGTCAAATAAATGAGCATAATTGAGCTAGTTAATGAGTCATACTATCGAGCAACTTATTAGTAAACCAAATGAATCTTATCAAGCCTATTAACAATCAACACTTTGGACTAGCTTATTAGTTAATCAAAATAGTAACACATATAGCTTAAAAATGAGGTATGAATGAACGAGCTTCTAAATAAACAAGTCTTTTAATGAGGATAAATAAGTAGCTTGTATTCATGAACAAAAACAATCTAGTAGAGAAAAAAAAAACAAAGATAATGGTCATGGAAACAAAAGTAGAATGCAAGAACAAGCAAAAGGAGACCACTAAGAGTGTTTCTCCTCTCTAAAAGGCCAATTCTATACGGGTTGGAGCACTAACATTTTGAATGCTAGAGGGAGCATTAGCTATAGGGTTCAACTAAATTATTAATCATTCTCAACATAGAGGAAAGATATAAGGAACCACAGAAATAAGGGGTAAAATTATACCTTTCATAACAAGCACGCAGAGCCTTTGAACTAAAATCCTAGTATCATTCGGGAGGTTTAAACCTAAAGATGGAAATCATAATATTGAGTAATAGCCAACATCAATAACTCACTTATATTCTTTAGCTAGCCAACGAAGTTCTGCAACTAAGAAAAGATAAAAGACTTAAACCAAAGTTAAGGGAGGAGACCAATGACTGCAAGCAAGAACAAGACAACTAGAAATAACCAGCAAGAGCTAGGAGAGCAACTAGCAGTGGAAGCAGGAATAGTGAAAGTGGCCACTAGGAGCGGGAAGAGAAGTGTTCACTAGGAGCAAGGCGATCACCAAGAAGAGTGATGGAGTGGCAATGTCCAACGCGAGTGGAGAGAACTTTAAAGCATGTGTGATGAGGATTGTGCAGTTGTCCAGAGAACTGAAGGAGCGATGAGGATTGAGGATCTAAACTCATGTTTTAAATTTTTGCATTTTTTTATTTATTTGGTTTAATGTTCTAGTTTAGGTTATATGAGTTTGGGTAATACAAGTTTTGATTGTTTGAACATACATGTGTCTATTTAATTAATATTCATTCAAATTTTTAAATAGTTAAAATAAATCATTAAATAAACATATATAATATTAAATAAATTTATAATAGAATCTTAGACGACCATATTATCAAATCTTAAAAGAACGTATTATCTAGCCTTAATCAAGCTTATTCACGAACTTTAAATGATATTATTCATGATCATCAATGAACTCAGCACCAAATTATTTAACCTTGTTCATTTATCAATTGAATATTTATAGAACTGTTCAAGATTGTTCAATTAATTAATTAAAGATCCTAAACGAGCTCTAAGTAAAGCCATGAATACCTTGTCAAGCAAATTGGTCTATTTGCACGAGAAGGAGAGGCGGGTTGTCTATTTGCAAACTTGATGAAAACAAAGTAAGCGCAAGAGTGTATGGCAGAAACCATAAAAAAATTAAGAAAAAAAAAGTAAATGCAAATACCATAATAAAACTTGAATAATGATATTGCATGAATTAATGATTCAAAACTTGTTCAATTCCCATTTTGATACAAGATAGACCAAACTGAAGCAAGATAATGTAAAGGGAAAGAAAAATAAATGATAAGCTAGAGTAAAGAAAGTAAACTATAAATAAGACTCAAATTTATGAAATATGCACAACTGAACTATCGCTTCGATAAAGAGTGGGCTTAGCTTCAACAATAACAAAAAATTTATTTCATCATCAACGTACATAATAATTTTAGCCTAAGGATCCCCCATTTATAAACTAGGATGCTCAATAACAAACTAAGAAAATCCATCACAATTGCAAAGATCACCCTACCAATATAAAAAGGATTATAAAAGCTAAATAAATATATGACTAGCGTGTTGTTATTAAAACTTCTTTAGTAGTGAAGTGATGCATTGTCCCTACGCAATGTTTGCTTGTGAAATGCAAGCTCGCACCAAAACTTTTGTTGTGCTACATCATCAAGTTGCGATGTTGCGTTGTGTGTCAACGCTAGATCATAATAAAATTTTGATTCAAATTTCAATGTTCAATTTAGCACTGCAGTAATAATTAAGCATGAGTGTTCGCTTCTTCTCACTATTTCTCATAGTTATCGAGTCATTGCTCATTGATTCTTCATTTTATTTTGTTGGAGCAATTCTCTTCTTGGTGGTTCTTTTTGTCACGCTACCATGCCTACCAATTTTCTTACATATTTCTAATTATTTTTTGTTGCTAATGCTAGCAACATCTCACTGACAAGTTTCTACTTAACAATGCTTCAAAGTGCCTCATGTTCACACTTTGTTACATATTTCTAATTATTTTTGTTGCTAATGCTAGTTGCTCAATCTTATGATTATTCTTAATTTTTAAATATTATTTCATAACTTAATTAGTTATGTCTTTGATTTTTTAGCTTATAAATAGCTAGAAATTATTGTTACTTAACATATCATAGATTTTATTTAAGTTTGGTTGATTAAATAACCTATTGAATGCTAATACTATACACACACACAAGCCATGAGTGTTCTAATTCATAAGAGGTACGCTTCTCTTTGCATTTTACACATTGAAGCAAAAAAAAAAAAAAAAAAAAAAAAAAAAAAAAAAAAAAAAAAACTTCGACATCGTATTGCACCTAATGCTTTGAAAATTCTGAATTGCATATGACTAGAATAAATATGAAAAAAAAAACTCTTTAATTAATAATGTTATCCTTAAGGCTTCAATCATCCAATCATTCAAGATGAGCAATGAGTAATGTTGGCAAATTCTTGGTGAAATGAAAAAAAGTCCTTACACAATCTAACAACACATAAGAAGTCTTTGGGTATATATAAATTACCAACATAAAAGTTTTGACTAATGCACATAGAAAATTTGTGAAGGAGATGGGGGAGGGAAAAAAGGAAAAAATTAATTCTCCTATAACTTTTATTTCCCAAAGATATATTCATAATGATGGCCTATAATGGCCTGCAACTAATAGGTTTGAAAAAGGAACTCTTAAATGGATGGCTTGAGATAATTAATTCCATCAAATATAACAAAACCTGGATAAAGAACTTTAAACGTTCAGACAATTTATAATCCTACACTTTCTCTCTTTCACCACATCAGAAAAACACGAACCATTTGGAAACCAATGCAATTTTTTGAAATACAATTGTTTGTTTTTAGCGAAAAAGTTCTTTACAAACAAAAAATATGTATTTCTAAAAGAAAATTGCTGGTGAATGTGTATTCCTGAACTTTTTAATAAATTTCCTTGCAGATTACTAGCCTTCTACAGTAAATGCTTTTTGCAATATGAAGTGCAAGGTTTTTCTCAAACTTTTCTACAATTGATGGATTGTCTCCACTATAATCTGTAGAACATCTACATGGGCTAACTTTAGGCAAAGAACCTCTCCACAATGCAAGGGTAAGACTATATACATCGCCCCCTTTTTAATACCTCACATTGAATGAAGCCTCATGCACTAGAAATACAACTTCCAGGTTACATGGGAATATTTACCTCACATTGAATGAAGCCTCATGCACTAGAAATACAACTTTTAGGTTACATGGGAATTTTTTAGAATATACCCATTAGTCATAATAGATTTGCTCTTCAAAACAAATAAAGATGGTTCACAAACCTGGTTCTTGATGAGGACATAAAAACTAAATGGTGAATTTTTTATGATCTAGAATAGTAATGCCATGGAACTAACAAACTTAAAAATTTTGGGGGATTTACATACATACCACAAAATTACCATGTATTTACATATCTAACATCTTAATCTTAATATTTACTTATACCACTTTAATATCTAAATTACAACAAAACATATCATGAAAGTGTGCCTTTTACTTTAAATAAACTAACTTTAATGGTATTTTTATATAGTTTAGAGATATGAGTGATACGTTAGATATATTAATATTAAGAATTTTGTGGTAAGTATGCTAATCCCCCAACTTAAACTAAACTCCTGCAACAAGGATAACACTTGAAAGGCAGGCACTCTTCAGAAAACCTTCTGCCGCCTAAGGAAAACAAATTGTTAGTAAGTGTTGGAAATGGATATCTCAAGCTCATTTTGGTGCCAAGTTTTAGTAAGATAAATTCTGATGCTTCTAGAAGAAAAATAAAAAGTAACCTCAGCCAAAGCTATCTTCCAGGATGGTAAAATAGCAGGACTGACGAAATGTATGATTCCTACGCTTTAAGATAGCCAGCCATAGAGTTGGATACAGTATGTGCAGAGAAGTGCTTGAGATCATCAACTGCTGGATTCATTATTTCAGGAGCTCAGACAATCAGAGAGATCATATTTCTTTATCACGGCGTGATCGAGATTTACTCTCTTTAGTTGTTAACACATCTCTAACAAATCAACAACCACAATTCCTAGGATTTAACGATCGAGGCAGCGGGATCGGAAGCAAACCTTTGGGGGTCGCTTCCTAGCATAAGAGACGGAGAAGATAGTCATCTTGGGGGGCTCGTCGCGCACATCCACCAAAAGCGGGGAGATCTCGCCAGCAACCTCCGAGTCGTTCACTTGAACGACGTGAACCCCGCCGCCGTTTCCTCTTCCTCCTATTTCGCCGTTTGCCACATCCACCAATGCCATCGCCACGGCTCTACGCTGCACAACGGCGCTCTCTGTATATCTCTCCGGGAAAGATGCCAGCGAACCAGCCTCTGTAATAGCCTCAGTCCGTTCCGGATCTACACCGCGGATTGCGAAGGTCAATAATCCGACCTGAAATTTTAATCTTTTGGGTTCGAGTCAGATTCCGGTTTAAATCATAGCCGGTTTGACTCAAAGAATTTAAAATTGGCTTAACTATTATTTGGGTTCAGATCAAGCTAGTTTGCATGGAGTTAATTAGGTTAAACGAGTCATATTCCAATTATTATTATTTTTCTTTTTTTTTAGAATTGCAAAAATGCATTAAGGAAAAATCAAAATTATTACAAACTAATCAACAATGCAACTATCATATTCCTTCTTCAAAATACTATACAAAGAAGAAGGAATGTCGAAAAAAGAAGTAGAATCAAAGCAAAAATTATTATCCAAAGCTAAGGTAGCACACAAATCAGCTGTTTTATTACAGTCTCTAGAAATATGATGAAAATTTACCTTGTTGAAGTCATTGAGAAATGACATCTTCTCTAAAATCAAATTACTAGCCGCATATGTTGATTTCATCGTAGAATCTTGAAGGAATTTGATCATATTGTAGTTATCACCTTCTATTATTACACATTTGCTCTCAAACATCAAATCTTTTAAGAATTCTTTCAAAGTAGAAATAGCATCCAACTCAAGTTGATTGATATCCCAATGCAACATATTTTTATCGAAAGAAAGGAGCAGTCTACCTTTACAGTCTCTAACAATACTTCTAATGCTTGCTATATTAGAGTCCAATAAAGAAGCATCCACATTTATTTTTATCCAATCTAGTGGTGGGGGTGCCAATAAGTACCAAACTCCAAACGGAGAGAAGCACCCCAGTCAATTAGCATTAGAAACATGTTCATAGCAGTGGATAAAATGTTTGCAGCAACAACTGATGTAGGTAAGATAGAATTACCATGTTTATTGTCATTCCGACATTTCCAAGAGAAAAAAACTACTGTACAGTAGATCTTTACAGTATTCAAACAATCTTTGGAAAGTTCTCTAAGCTGGGATAAACAGTCAGCCAAGGACTGGAAAATAGGGATATTAAATCCCCAATTTCTTAATTTGTGAATGATGCCAATAAGATATTTGCAATGGACACAATATGCGAACAATCTTCAACTTCTTGGCAACCTCTAGCACAAAGATCACTATGCCAAAGTCTTCTATATTTTAAAAATTCATTGGTAGGTAAGGCATACCTTCTCTTCCTCAACCAAAATAATTCAACTTTTGGTTTGAGTTTTAGCCTCCTTAACCAATTGAAAAAACCAAAATCTTCATCCTTTTTATTGTATTTGATAGCTTCAGCGTAAGCCAAGGCTGAAATCGATTTACCCGATAGTTGGAAAAGAGGTTCCATTTGATCATTATGCCCATCGTGGATAACACAATGCTGCAAAATAAGATTTACAAGATTTTGGTTGAAAAATTGATTCAATTCAGTCAAGTTCCTTTGGCCATCCCGAAGAAGAAAATGCTGTAACATCATTCCTTCTAAGCCAATACAGTCAGCAAGCATAGGCTATTTGTTGAAGCACTTGTCCAATAACAAAATACCATTCATGACATTGATACTTTTTCCATTTAATAATTCGTTTTAAGTAAGAAGCCCCATCCAAAAGAATAGACCAAGCAGCCGAATTACCACTTTTGAACCCTCCACTCCAAATATTTGTACCATATCTAGCAACAATATATTTATGCAGCAAAGAAGAAGGATTTTTAAAGAACCTCCGGGACAATCTAGCTCTTAGAGGACCATTTTTTTTAACAGCAGATAATAAGCCCATACCACCCAGAATTCTGGGTTTACATAAATCTTCCCATGCAACATAATGGAGGCCACTTCTACGATGGTCATTGTGCCAAATGAAATCTCTACAAAGTCTATCAAATTCATAGTGAGTTGATATAAAAGTAGGCAAAGATAGTAAAGATGACTTAATAAGAACCATTCTACCAGCTAAAGATAGAAATCTAGCACCCTAAGATTAAGTCTCTCCAAAGCATGGTCAATGATGGATTGAAAGTCATTATTTACCACTATCCTTAAGACAATTTTTATTCCCAAATAATGCAGCTCACTTACTACTTTAAAGCCAAAATTCTTACCAATTTTCCTCCTCATAGTTGGTCTCACAGATTTTCCAAAGAGAACCTGAGATTTTGCATTGTTAATACTTTGTCATGTCCATCCATAATACTCCCTGACTAAGTGCAACATAGTATAGAGCATACGAGAAGATGATATCGCAAACAATAGAACATCATCTGCATACAATAGATGAGTAATTTTAGGAGCCCTTGGAGAAGTTTGGATACCCAACTGTTGTCCTTTTTGATTAATAGCATTTGATAAAAGCTGGGAGCACATGATAAAAAGATAAGGTGACATAGGACAACCTAGCCAAAATCCACTCTTGACTTCAATCCATCTAGTACTCTTACCATTTAAAAGGATAGAAAATCGCACATTAATCACACATTCCATGATAAGGTAAGAAATCTTAGTTGGAAACCCAAACCATTTTAAAACGAGATCCAAGGTCTCCCAACTCATACTATCAAAAGCTTGAGCCATATCAAGTTTGACGACCATAAGTCCTTTTCTGTTTTTGGAAATTCTGAATTTATTAAAGATTTCATGGGCTAATAAGCAATGATCTGACATGGATCTACCCGGAATAAAAGTAACTTGTTCTTCGGAGATGATTTTAGAAATACAACTCTTCAATCTATTCACAATCTTAGATAATTTTCCAATAAAATTTGAAAAAGGAGGAAATACACCCATCTAAGCCGGGAGATCTATTTGAACCTTGCTGAAAAACCACATAAGTGAACTCATTTTCAGTGAACTTGGCATTCATTATCATCCACCATCTGGTCCAGGCTAACCGAAGGCCAATTCAATCTCACACACGTCCTGGATTTCCATTTGTTTTCAAAAAACTTCAAAAGATAAATTCAATATGCTCCATGTCCTCCACAACCATATTGTTTCTATCTTTGATTTGCCTAATCAACTTCACATTCCTTCTAGCCGAGGCGTAGTCATGGAAAAATTTTGAGTTTGTGTCCCCCTCTTCAGTCCAAGTAGCCTTCGCTCTTTGATTCCATCAAGTAGATAATCTGAACAAAGTAACATTTAGATTATTAACTTTAGCACGAAGGAAAGTCAATTTATCAGGACTTAGGCCTCCATCCAATTCTTCTTCCAATTGTAATTTAAGGATCTCATCCTTTAGTTCCTCCTTAACCAAATTCAGATTTTTGCACTTATTTTATTCCAAAAATAAAGAGACTTCGTAGTTCTCTTAATCTTTATGTTTAGAACATCTGCTGCACCACCAAAATCATGTTTCTCCCAAGCTTTAGTAACAATCTTCCAAGTTGCTGGATAGGACTTCCATTTGTCTTCAAATATGTAGATTTTAGAGTGAAATCGATGCACTTAATCGAGTTTAAAAGAAATGGGGCAATGATCAGATGCCAGCCTTGCTAGATGTCTAATTGAAGCTGAAGGAACTATTATAGAGCCGCAAAATTCAGTAAGCATCTGTCCAGTCTTTCCCAAATCCTTGCAGTTTCTTGCTTCTTGTTACACCAAGTGAACCTATGACCAATAAAACCTAAGTCATGAAGATCATGATTAGCCATAAAAATTTTCATCTCCTTCGGCCCCTTAGTCATACAAAACCTTTTACCACCTCTCTTGTCTTCCTTAGAAAGAAGGCAATTGAAGTCACCTCCCACAATAGTAGGAATCCCACCCAGTACATTTTTACCAAGACTTTCCCAAAGATCTCTCCTAACCTGATATTCCTTATGGCCATACACCATAGCCACATGCCAACATCCCTTACTAGTAGTATCAAGAACCCCAAATACTAATTGAGAAGAGTGTTCCACCATAGTAAAGGAAACAATATTTCTCTTCCAAAGTACCAAAATTCCTCCGGAAGTGCCTACAGCTGGTTGATGGAAAAAATCCCAGTCATTACCAATAATCCTGTTAACATCTCTTTTACCAATATCTACCAATTTGGCTTCAACTAACCCAATAAAAAAAGTTGCATTGTCTTTCACAACTTCCCTTGGGTAAAGAGAGGCTTCCTTCTTTTTTGCCCCTCTACAATTCCAAAAAATAAAGGATGACTTTAATTACATAAAGGGGAAGAGTCCCCGCCTTTCTTTTTCCCCTTGCCTTCAACTTTTCTTTTCCTGGAGACGGGTTCAATAGGACCCAAAAATTTCAGCTGTAATTTGGGTTTTTGTTTGGCAGAATTCAATAACTCTTTATCAGTATTTCCTTGAATTGATATTCCCACATTTCCTTGGTTTTTTTATTCCAATAATATCAGTTCCTTCAACATTGATGTTTGAAATAGTAGCATTGACTTCTGAGACGGCGTGATCAGTTTCTTCAGAATTAACATAAAAAAAAATAATATTAGATCCTTCAGCAGAATCAGGATCTAAAATAGAGCATGCATTGCCATTTGTGTCTACAAGAGAATCAGAAAGGATATATTATGCATTGTTAGACAAGTCAGTAACATAAATGTTAAAATCATTTGCCACTTCAGGGGCAGCATCTAAAATAACATCATTCAGTTTGTTGATTTCATCAGCTAAAACTTCAAATCTATTGGGCATACATACATCAGGTATTGCATTATCACAATCAATAACCTGATGGTTGCCTTTATAAGCACTTTCCACAATCGGTACATTATCTGCTTGATTATTGTTCACGGCTTGGACACTATTGATATTCCTATCAACATTAGTGTCAATATGAGTATCAGAATGCTTGGTTAGAGCTTCCTTCTTCCAACTACCCAACTGGTTCCAGTTCTTATTTGGTCTGTTTTTAAACTTGACATGGATCCAAGGACTATATTTCTCATTTTGACAATCATGAGTAACATCATTATGAACAGCATCATTCAACTTCAATTATGATCACTTTTTAATTAAATTATCAAATGACTTATCATACGATAGTTTTGAGAATTTCATATGTAATAGACCTTATCCACATCAAGGAAATCTAAAGAAGAGTAATTCTTATATGTTATTGAATAATTTTATCTGCTCAAGTAACCTAGAGAAGCACTTATAGTGTGAATTTATAATTCCCTAGAAGGTTGGATTTGAGGTGCAAAAGCAGTCACTCTAATACAACTTCATGACCTTTGTAGATATTGTGATATCACATCCAATGAACTTGGTTCAAGTTCATTTTGCAGCATGTCATGACTTGAGGAACTTTCATCCTCTCTAATTGCATGCATAGCAACATTTTCGAGAAACTTGAAGGATCACTTCCTCTTTGCCTTATTATATGCTGTGATTGTTATTCTGAAACATTGAGTTAATATGCTGCAAATAATTATTCAATAATATAAATTTATGACTAATATATAAATAAATTTCAAGCACAAATAATATATTCTATAAAATTTTAATTTAAACATATTCAATCTTTAAATTCAATTCATTATTTAACATAAATTTAGTTCACATATATGTTATAGATTTAGTATTTAAAATTGCTAATTTATGATATATATATATTTAGATATAATTTGCATCTATAAATTATATACAAAACTTATATTGAAAATTAAATCTCTAAAATAACATTAGATCATTTATATAAATTAAATAGATTAAATTTTAATTAATTTATTAAGTTAAATATTTATATTAAATTTATTAAATTAATTTATTTAAATATATAAATGATTTAATAAAAAATTGATCGATTTTTAAAACTAACACTAGTTTGCCAGTTAACTGGTTGAGTCGTCGGTCAATGCTATTCATGCTAGTTTGTTACAAAATTGTTTTTGAGAAATTTATCGGATTAGTTAACAAATCGATTCTCAGTTCAACCAATTGAATCGATGGATCCAAAACTATATTTAAACCCCTAGTTGAAATCATACTCCATCTTCGGTATCCGCTCATAATCCCTACTTCTCAAAGTTGTCAAATTCTCCTAATATCCAAGACTTGAAGGTAGATAGTTGCTTGATCGATGGGGTGGAATGGATTAATATCACAAGGATTTATAAGCTTTTGCCTCTACCAAAACAAATTTATGAAATCCCTAATTAAATGTTTCTATATATTTGCTGGTTCCGTGCTAATTGTATATCACTCCTATGTATAATCTCTATAGATGGGGTTACATGCACTACCTTATTAGTCTCCATATCTAGAGGCGCCACACTAAAAGATGAGGTTTCATCCCCTACTTCCTTGGCCTACATAAAGAGATGAGATTATATCCCTTAAATCCACTATCTCCTCTTCCTCATTAACTTATAGCCCCTTCTCCTACTCCTTCCCCTCCACTTGATGCTTTATATTGCTTAGAGTTGTAATTGCTAGGTTAGTAATAAGCATTGGCTCGCTATCCTCCCTGCTCGCATCACTCTACTCCTTCCTCCTTTTCTCTTCTCCATTACAAGCCTATGGATAAGAGTTGTTAAAGCTCTAATTTACGCTTCAACTTTAATTGTTTGGTCTCAAGCTTGACTTCCCACTCAACTCCTATATAATGCCAAAAAATTAATTTAACTCTACTCTCTCCTTCATGAAAATTTTTTGTTGCAAGCCCTGCTCTCTCCTTAAAATAGATGTCCAATTCCTTCTCCACCATTACAATAGGTGTAGGGTAGGAAAGTGCATGTACAATGAACTCATAAAAATCTTGATAGCATCTCCAAACACAAGTGTATGATGGATAATTGCATGCAAAGAATATCTACAATGTCTTATTATTTAAATTATAGATAAATGCATAACAAAGTATAATAAAAACACACAGGACACGCATCCTTATTCATCATCATATATAACAAATCATTTCTTATTAGTGCCATGTTATTATTCCAATTCACATCATTTGTATTGTTTCCCGTGGGAATTCAATGCATCTTCTCCTTGTCTCTAATATAGCCCTAAGCCTGGTATTTTATTAATGCTATACATATTAGCACCTGTCATTATCTCACTAATTGTATTTACACTTTTACCATTTTGTTTCTATAAATATGTATCCTGTAACTCATTAATAATTGAATATATATTTACTTTCTATCTTTACAATACTCTCTGCTTCTCCCACTACAATTCTTTCTTGTTTTCTTTCATGGTATCAGAGCCATGGTAGAACAAGAACTGACCAACCCTCTTCCTCTTACCTCCTCCTCCTCCTCCACCAACACCACCAACACTGTCGTCCAACACATCGGCATCCCTCCGGCACTGAAATTTCTTCTCAACAACATCAAGAATCTAGCTCCTCACCACCTCACGCCGGATAACTACGCCATATGGTGTACACAAATTCTGCAACAATTCACTGCCAACGGGTACGCTGGACATCTCACCGGAACCACTACTCCTCCGACCGACGTCCACTCGGAAGAATACGCTCGCTGGCATCTTGAGAACAGTAATCTCCTCTCAGCCCTTTTCTCCACCATTTCCCAACAGATCTTGCCTTACATTCTCTTGTTCAACAACTCCCACGAAGCTTGGGCGATTCTTGAACGACATCTTCAACCCACTTGTCGTTCTCGTGTCATCCAGTTAAAGAACGAACTTCATAATGTTCGGCTCAAGGATTTCACAATTCCTCAGTACCTAACGCAAATTAAATCCATCATGGACAACATTGCTGCCACCGGCTCAAAAATTGAACCAGACAACATCATCCACTACATTCTTCAAGGGCTGTCGAACACCTACAGCTCCTTTAAAACGGCAATTCGCACCTATCCGCTATCTCTTGATCTTGACAAATTTTACTCCTTACTCTGCAGCAAAGCGATCAATATTCAGCAAGAACAGTCGCACGACCTCTCTAACAACGTCTCCAACACTGCAGTATATGTCTCGTCTCAAAATTCTGCACGAGATCGCACGCAGCATCGCTTCTTCAAGAACAAGAACTCCTCTCCGGCTTACAACAACCCACCGCCTCAGTTGGTTCAGCCCATCTCTACTACCTCCACCAAACTGACGTGCCAAATCTGTGGAAAGATCGGCCACATTGCTCTCAATTGTTGGCACTGCTATAACTTCAAGTTCGCTCCCACCGTCACTCGCCGACCGAGAGCTCTTCTAGCTCAACCGTCGTCCGACAACTCTCAAGATTGGGTTCTTGATTCCGGAGCGACCTCTCATCTCACGCCCGATATCTCCTACCTCCAATCACCTTCGACCTACCATGGGAATGACTCCATCTCTGTAGCCAATGGGTCTACCGTTCCCATTCATCACGCATGACAGGGTCTTCTTCCTCTACCATAAACATCTCGTAAGCTTTACCTTACTAACCTGCTTCACATTCCGTCCTTAACACACAATTTGCTATCCGTTTCTAAACTCACCACAGACAATGTTATTTCTATCACTTTTGATGCTAATGGCTTTGATATTAAGGATATTCAGGACCGTCGTCTTCTTCTCCGTGGACATCTCCGTAACGGTCTTTATTAAATTTCCATGAATCCCGATCCCCCTCCGACGACATACACTGCTACCACTACGAACATCACCATGTGGCACGCCCATCTCGGACACCCGAACAACAGTCTTCTACCAGTTCTTGCAAAAAAGTATTCCTGAGCTAAACAAATTACCTCATTCTGTTACTTGTATCTCCTGTAACATGGATAAAAGCCATAAGCAAAAAAACTTAATAAAATCTCTTCGTTTACATGTTCCCCTTTCGATCTCATTCATACAGATGTCTGGGGTCTTGATCCGTTCAATTCTTTAGACGGTTTGCGTTATTATATAATTTTTATCGATGATTTCACTCGGTACTCATGGCTCTACCTTATACACTCCAAAAGTGAAGCTCAAATCATTTTGCGCTTTTTAAAACTCAATTTCACACCACACCAAAAATCCTACGATCCGACGTAGGCGGCGAATTCACTGGTCATGCATTCAAAGCATACCTTCAAGACTCGGGCATCACTCAACAGTTAAGCTGTCCGCACACTCCCGAAAAAAAATGGCGTCTCCGAACGAAAACACCGCCACATTCTTGAGCTCACCCGCGCTCTTCTCCATGAATCTAATCTTCCTCCAAAATTTTGGGCGGAAGCTCTGTCGACCGCACCCCCGCAGGCCCCCTCCTCTCTCCGCCGTTGTCCACGGCCAATATCCGAACTACTCTCACCTTCGCATCTTCGGTTCTCTCTGCTTTCCCTGGCTCAAACCTTACACAACAACCAAATTCTCACCCCGTTCGATCTCTTGCATTTTTATTGGCTATTCCACTCTTCACAAGGGTTATAAATGCTTTGATCATCAATCCGGCAAACTTTACATCTCTCACCACATCGTTTTTCACGAGTCTATCTTTCCCCTCAAATCCTCACAGCCTCAGTCTGCTCCTCCCACCACACAGCCGAACACCTCTACTCCACCTCTCCTTCTCGTTCCTGCGACCACTGCCAATACTCAATTCCCGACCCGTCCGCCTCTCATCTCTCAGATCAATCCTACTACTCACACCTCTTCTCCCGACATATAATCTAATCCTCCCACTCATCGTACCGTCGTTCCTCCAAATCCTTCTCACACAACCACACACTTGTCTCTGCCCACTCAGATCACCACTCACCCGATTCATCCTATGCAAACTCGCCTTAAATCTGGCATAACAAGACCCAAACAAGTACTAAATCTCCTAAGCCAAACTTCCACCAGTTACACATCGACGAATTATAAGCAAGCCGCTCCGTTCGCTCACTGGCAACACGCTATGCGCGAAGAATACAATGCCTTGCAGCAACAACACACTTGGACTCTCGTTCCGCCACCACCTGACAAACATATTCTCGGATGCAAATGTACTTACAAAATCAAAACACTCCCATCCGGCCAAGTCGATCGATACAAAGTCCGGCTCGTCGCCCTCTGCTACGATCAAGAATTTGGCATAAACTTCACCGAGACATATCGTCCCGTTGCAAAGATGCCAACCATCCGCATCCTCCTCACGCTTGCCCTTCAACAGCAATGGCCCATACTACAACTCGATGTATCAAATGCCTTCTTGCACGGCGATCTTCATGACGACATCTATATGCGTCAACCACCCGGATTCGAAGACCCAACCAAACCGGACGCCTTATGCAAACTACAAAAATCACTATACAGCCTCAAGCAAGCATACAATGTATGGTGTTGGAGCACTCTTCTTCAAGGTTATAGGCTCATAACAAGCCACATCTCTCTTCACTCCCCTTAGCATATCAATGAAAATAATATTGCATTTATCATCACTGAGGAGTACACCATATAAAAGAAATACAATCCAACCTTCCATACATTAACTAGTATAATGCACTTCAAGAAAGCCCCCTCTAAGTCAATATTCTCACGTCCCTGTTTTAGTAGTTTTTCGAGCGGCATACTACTTTTGCTCATCATCTACAAGTCCTCTCTAACCTTTTTTTTTTTTTAACTTATTAATTTTTTATTAGGATTTGAGCCTAAAATAACATGAATTGGAAATTGAGGGTATTTTAATAGTAAGATTTTCTCTGAAGGAGTTAAGGTCGCGATATTAAATGAATTGTTGTTAGTTGTATTAAACCCTGCCAACTCTAACCACTTGCTTAAAGAAGATGAGTTCATGGTTTTGTAGTTTGCACATTATTTAAGCTAATTTTACTATTATTTCATTACAAAACTTATCAACATGCAGTACTCTTTATGTGAATGATTTAATTTTTTTGGTTAAAACTCTCGACTATAATTTGTAAGAAAGATAGTCGTTAGAGTTTGTATTTTGAAATGAATTTTTTAATATTAAAAGCTTTAAAGATCTTATGCAAATATAAATTTAAATATCTTTTTTGTGAGTTTTGCAAAGGAGCATTTAATTTAAGTATTTCTGAGCTAAACAAATTACCTTATTCTGTTACTTGTATCTCCTGTAACATGGCTAAAAGCTATAAGCAAAAAAATTTATAAAATCTCTTCGTTTACATCTTCCCCTTTCGATCTCATTCATATAGATGTCTGGGGTCCTGCTCCGTTCAATTCTTTAGACGGTTAGTGTTATTATATAATTTTTATCGATGATTTCACTCGGTACTCATGGCTCTACCTTATGCACTCCAAAAGTGAAGCTCTGATAAAATTTAAATCATTTTGTGCGCTTTATAAAACTCAATTTCAC